TTTGGCAGAAACTTGGCATTGATTTCTATTGTCCCAAATTTCTATACCCCCAAAAAATCTAACTCCATCTGAGACTTATTCTGAAGACCACATGTGCCCGTTTTGACAAAGATTGAGAAAAGAATTTGACCTGTAAAAAAGAATTTTTCATGAAATTAAAATGGCAGAAAGTCAAGTATGGTAGACATTTACATCATAGTGTGCTTTGAACTCTTTTGCTTAAAAATATTCCATCCTCTTTTGAAATTGTAAAAATGCACTTTTAACTTTGATGGCGTTGGAGTGTTTGAGATGCAGACAAAAAAAAACAGAGGATTGGTCTCAATCACATTACACAAGTTTTGATTCAAGGGGCTATAGAGTCCAATGGCAAGAGAAAAAGAAGAGTATGCGTATTGTTTCAACCCTCAGGATGTAGCGACATGTACACAAATGAATTAAGCCAAGTTTTACAATTATTAAGACAAGGATTTAGAAGGAACAGAAACCCCCACAGAGTCTGCTGGCTGAGGGAAATTGAGATAGTCGGAGGGTTTGCTTTTTTAATGCTTATCAGGTGACACTGAGGAACAGTTGCTTGTTGCTTGGGCTTGTGAAACAAAAAGGCATTCAGATGTAACAATAAGAAAAGATACAAAGATTGCAGGAGTTTTGCTTCTTGGTCCTCAATTGTGACACAAAACACTGGAAACAAAAAAAAAACTAGTAAATGTTACATGAGACAGCTGCGGTGAATAAATGCAAGACGTTAATACAGTATAGGGCATAACACATGTTCTCGATAAATAAGTGACTAGACAGCTTAGCTGAGAACTCAAGGGTGACTTCTTCTGCTCTCCAAACTGAGAAATTTGTAAGTTATTAACTAAAAATGTTGTTAAATCAGCCCTGGGGACAAAGATAACGTTTGAACCTCAGGTCATGTAGCTCAGCTGCAAAACAACAACCTTGCTTTGTTTGTCTGTGAAAGTGTGAATGTTTTGTTATTCAGTAATCTCTTTTTTTCCTGTTTGCTTCTAATCTCAAAAGACAAATAATACTGCTAGGCTGACTTAGCTGAAATGTGTAGTGTGTGGGATGGAGGAAAGGGTTATATGTGCTACACACACACACCTCATGAACGCCCACGCTCACTGTGCCAGGTCTCACTCGTCTCTCCGAATCTCTGCAGGGGGGGGAAGCATATTGCCTGTTTTTTTTTGGCAGCTTTACAGAATCAATGCTTGAGATAAACTGTACTCTTGCCAAAGTTAAATAAACTCCCCGAGCTGGAAAGATAAGGTTTCTGCTGGAGTCCCACGTAATGGACCAACTGAGTTATTTGACTTTGTCAGAAGGGGCAAAGATACATTTAAAATTATTAAAATTATTCAAGGTTGCACACTTAATACTGGTTTACACAAACCTTTCTGAAATCCTTTTTGAATTATTACCTGAATTAGAGGGAGCTGACACGTCCAAGATCCACTTTTTTTTAAGAATATGCTGAATGAAAATGTTTGACATGAGTGTTGATATCATCTTGTACACACACAGCATGCAACATAAGTTCTGTTTGTCTTTAAACCTCTGAGTCTCTGTTTGCTGTCCCCGCTGACTCCACGTTCCCTTTCCCCTTGCACTTTTATCTCTTTATACCAATTGTTTGTCTTCTAAATCGAAATTGGATTTAGTATAATTCCACCACAGGATACTGTATTATGATATTCATGTTATTGTCTGCTTATATTCATCTGTTCCATTTTTCTATTGGCAACCCTGGAGTTTTGTGTTTTCGTGCCTGGTCTCATTTTTGGTTTTCTGGCGTTGCTACTTATGGGTTAGTGAGCTCAAGCTTGAGAGTTGTTATTAAAAGGTAACTTTAAAGCTCAGTGACACACTGAGCTGCGTATATTAATAGATGTGACTTGACCTCTCAGCCTGTGTGCGTCTGTGAGGTTCCTGAGTGTATTCTGACTTGTATTTCACAGTGGAGTGGTAAGTCAGTGGAGGGTCCTCTCTAATTAAATGGAGGGGAGGGCCACAAGTCTCATCCTCTGAACATACCAGTCTCGTGTTTATATTAACTCCCTGAAACACTTGGCTGCCCGCACGGAAACCCTCCAATAACCATATTTGGCCACGCTGACATAGAACAGAGATCACCCCCAACCCCCAGTTTTCAGAGTACCTTCAGTCAAAAATGAGCTGCCTATTTTCTTTTTTCCTTTACAATAGGATTTAAATAACTTACTTACCAAGCGTGAATGTTGTTTTAAGCTGATGAGAATACTATCATTCTACATGAATATGAAGTTTTAAACAATGACATCCTTGCACATAGTAACTCGGGCTTATTTTCCCCTCAACACTTTCCATCCTCCTGCAGGTTTTGGAAACCAATTATCCCACTCTACTTTGGAAAATCTAACATTTTCTGTATGAGAGGTGTCAAAAAATAAAGCAAACAGCCAGGAGAAAAAAAAAACGCTTGACACAAAATCAGCTGTTACCTGGATGCGAGCTGCAGATTAGGAAAGTATACACAGTCAGAAATTTACAGGTGTTAAAATTCTGCAGACAGACTCGAGTAAGGCAGTCTCATTAACTGATATCGAAGCTTCGTTTTCTGGGAACACTACACCTGGATCGAGTGTGTGTGTGTTTGTTTTCCTCTCTGTGACAGAGATGGGGGATTTTTTGAAGAATATCTTCTTTTTGAAGGGAGATTTCTCCTGTTTCTTTTTGTGAGTTAGAATAAAAGCTACCCAAGGTGCACAGGGTGACTCATTTCAAGTCATTTTTTGTCTCACCTAGATATAAAGTGCCAAAATAATTCGACTGAGGGTTGTTTAGGAGTTTTGATTAATTGTCAATAAAAACCTCCAGCATTCAACACTACTCGTTCTTCCACAAGGAAATCTCACATTAGAGTTCTGCATGACCTCCAAGTAGGAAGTGAATTCTTTCTCTAGGCTGTTTCTCATCATTGCTCTTCTCAGTTTTCTCCGACGCACACTTAAAAACACACTGAACACACACAACAGCGTAAAAATGATCCTGACCAAGTAAACTTCTTCTAATGAATTACATTAAAACAATCGAACTATACTTTCTCTTCTCTTCTGTCTCATCAGGATCCCCACAGACGTGGACCCCCTGACAGTCTTCGCCTCTTTGTCTCCTGAGGGCGTCCTCATCATCGAAGCTCGGCAAACACCTCCATATTACCTTTTCAGCGACGAGGGATCCCAAGGTGGTGAAAAGCACGAGGTGGAAGCCTCCAAGCCCCAGATGGCTCCTATGGTCTAAACACATCATTCTGGACAATCAGTTACCAGTTTGATGTGAAATGTGTTGCCTCTAGCTTCATGTTGTTTGACACCTGGAGGTATTTGATGTCCAGATTAAAGTTAAACCAGGCATTTGTTTTTTTTCTGTTGGAAAATCTATTTTTACAAGCTCAGACAATGATGAAAAGCTTCATTTTCCCATTAACAAATAGATGCTTATGAATTTTCCAGAATAGTCCAATAGTCTCTTTTTTTAAAGTAATTAACAGGTGTAATTATGAAATAATTTGGCTGTTTCTTTTCAGGTAGAGAATTTGCCCATGGCAGAGTTTTTAATAAAAATTGTAGAAGGCCAAATGTGACTGCTTGTTGATTTCCTTTCTGTCTGGCTCAATTCAATTTGTAAAACTTTAGAATCAAAGAAAATCATATAAAAGGGAAGTTTTAAGTGTAGCAGCCTTTCCAGCATATATTTTTGTTCTTTCGTTTGCCTTTCCTTCCTTCAGTTTCTATAGGTTTTTTTTATTTAACATGATGTCATTGAAATTGACGAGAAATAAAGGTAATATTATATTTCTGTGTATCCAGAGGGTGAATTTTCTGCATTAATGCACACAATATATAATATTATTTCACAGCGCATTGTAAATATAATAGTGCCAATTCATTATAAATCTTAATCTGAAATGTTCTGCATTTTGCAATATGGTTTGAAATTTTCTTTTCTATTTGAGCATTAAGGATGATGGCTGCGTGATTGTTGGAGAGGACAGACTGCCGCCTTTTCTGTTGATGTCTTTGTATTGACTGATGCAATAAACACGTCCAGCCAATCGCCCAGTGTGTCTTAACATCTGTGTCTTACATTGAGAACTGTGCCACTCGAGGGACCCGTTCCAGGGCTCCAGAGAGCCTGTGGTGTTATTGTTGGATAAAAGAAGGAATTGGGCAGCAGATTAGCGGAGGGCTTAGTGCTGGGTGAGACTGGCATCGCTGTGTGCTGCAGAATGGGCTGAACTCATTGAGGCAGCCCTGCCAGAGCCTTTGAATGCGAGTGTAAAAAAAAAAAAGACTGGGGCCGTTCCATTGCCCGTTGTGTGATGCAAAATAATGTAATCTTCCCTGTGCATTGGAATCAAGAGGGATGATTGGTTTGAATTGAAAAAGTTTCCAATCTGGAGTCACGCGGTGGAAACAACAAAAGGCTTGGACTGTTTCGGCTTTCCAAAGTCACCGCTGTGTGCGATGTGTAAGCTCACATGAAGTGTTGCATTTATTGGTATTATAATCATGGACTTCAATTATGCTGTTGCCATGGCAGCAGCAATACTGGAGTCACACCAGTTTTTTTTTTTTCCCCCTTAGGCAAGTAATTCACGTTGAACTGACTAATGCACAGCTGTGCAAACATATAGCACCTGATTAGTGTCAAAACCACTTTGCTGAAACAGCTTGATAACATAGTTTCAGAGGTAATTGTGAATATGATTCTTACAAATGTGATTCTTTGTTGCTGATAAACAGTTTCAAAATCACACATAACAACACATTTTATAATTGTGAGAACATAAAACCAATTAAGACATTAATAACATGACACACAGCATATTATTTATGGTTTTCACATGCTAGTGCTTTATTAGAGCTCCACCGATAGCGAGGCTGTTATATCTAATGACTACAATGCATCTGTGAGACTAAGCAAGGCAAGCAGTGCTGGCTGTTTCATTACTTTATCACCATTATATTGTTTTTATTCAGTGATCTCTTGCTGTATATTTGATGCTTCCAATTCCTGGCTCTGGACCTGTTCCCCAGGCTTAGTTATGTTCTCAGCGGCCTCCCGTGAGCTCACCATCACCTGGAGCTCTTCATCCACGACTGGCCTTTGGAGTTCTGGCTGTCTAGATGTGTCTGTGTCTGGGCATTCTTGGCTTTCCACTGTTTCCGGCTTTGTCGAAGAATCTTGAAGGCTGTCTGTGCTTTCGTCACCTGCAGGCACTGAGGAGGGGGAATCTCCAGCTGGCTTTTCATGGGTCTCCTCCTCTGTTTCCGTCCTCTCATCATGCTGCTGAAGCCCGACTGTGGCACCTTCAGGTTGGGCCTGATCTCTATGGACTTCTAATGAAGAGCCTTCCCCGTGATCCTCTGAGGAAGCAAACTCTGGGTGGTCTGGTGCTCTCCCGCTCTCTTCTTCTTTCTCATCTTTTACCTCCGGTTCTCCATTATCCTCTACTATCACCTGCATTTATGCATAAATATGTAAAAAAAAACAAAAAAAAACTAAATACCAGCAAAATCAAGACAGTTATTAAACTGGACACAATATGAAAAGACTGTTAGGAAACTGTCTATAAAAATCTGTATTTTAAAGGAACCGTTTCTTAGGAGCAAATCGAAAAGATCAATACCTCTCTGATGTCTGCGTGGTAAATATTGTACTGTTGTCACGTTTTGTGGCTCATCTACAAAAAAATAGTACATCAGATAATTTCTGAAATGTTGAATTTCTCCACATCTGTCTGCATCCTAATCTGACTAAGCCACCCACTCGCTCTAGCATTGTGAATTACATGTGCCAGACAAATATGTCAGTGGTACTGATCTTTTCTTCCACCCCTTGGTAAGTTATCAAAATGTATAGTATTTCTTTAACCAAGTTATTAGCACCTTTATGGGAATGGGGATTGTAGCAGGGACAGACGTTTCGGAAACTGGAGCTTCCACGTTCAGGAAACCATCCACAGAAAATGTGGATGAGATTTTGGTAGCATCCATCTCCACTGGGAGCCTGATAATGACACAACCAGGTTTACAGAGGCATGACATACAAAGAGTAAATACTGAAACAGATGTACCTAATATCTAAATGTTCAGTTCAGCAAACATTCGTTGAAAAAATACCATCAGTGCTGCATGCTTGGCTGCTGACTAATGTTTAAAATGGCTTAAACTGCATATTTCATCATCTGCAGGTTATTGTCAGTGTTTACTTTGCATACCTGTACTTCCTTGTAAAACATCTGGCAATGAATCCGTGCTCGTCTGGCCTCTCCTCGTGCTTCCCTGGGGACGGATTACCATTTATGGGGAAGAATGCGAGGACACACAGAGGAATCGAGCAACATAGAGAAACCACTCAACACAGAAATTAATTTCTGCCACAGAGCAGTGATTTTAATTTCCCCAAGCACATTATTTAAGCAGCTTTATAATTTTGTTACATTCAGCTTTTTTCCATCAGTGTTTCATTTTAAGGATTTTTTTTCCCCGTGAACCATAAGAAAAGTCTTTTTAAATAACTCTTTGAGATAATATTTGATAGCTAGATAAGATCTTTAATACTTCATTAAGACCCGAGACTATCCTGTGTGTAAAAGCAATTAGCAATGTTAATAAAGTGAACTCTACAAGCTGTTTAATTAACAGAGATGTAAGCCAATGTTTTATACCTCTGACTTCCAGGAATCCATCTCTGATGCTGAGAGAAATCTCTGAGGGGGAGAAGTGAGCCACATCCATGATGACCCTCCACTTACTAATCGTCTGGCTTGGATGATGCATCGACCCAGAGATGTAGGGCGCAAACAGCGGAGCGGGTATGTACCCTGGCCAGGAGCAGGCTGCCAAACTCCTCTGCAACCAGTCCACATCCATCCAGCGAGCATCCCCTGACTCCAGGAAAGATGGCAGGCCAGCATCCCGACTGAAAAGCTGGCTCAAATGCCACCACTTTCTCAAGGGGTACCAAGGGGCACCCCTGCTGTACTCCCCACACGATGTGTCTGCTTTGGCCTGTTCGCTCATATTTTGAGAAATGAAAGAAGATTTTAAAAAGGACACAGCAGACTTCTTCTGATGACAGTTAGCCAGTAAATTATGAACTCCTGAGGCTAAATCAATGAAATTCCAGCAATTAAAATCTACTTAAAGGACAAGGAAAGGATAAAAGCAAAGCGTGATGAGACAGAAAACTCAGAGGGGGTTTATATAGCGCTCCTATCCGTTTTAGCACTTATTAAGCACTCATGTGATCCCATGAGAAGGCTACATCGGCATGGGGTGATGCATGTGAAGACGAGGCTGCTACCTTTTGCTGGCCTGAACAAGGCTGCAGACTAATTAGTTATATTTATAACTTGTGTAGACAGGATGGCAAATAGGCAGAAGCAGGCTATGGCTGGTTTGTGTTTGAAATGTTACATGTGTCGCCTGAAGACTGTTCCTCTCACATCCCTGTGAACTCTATTTTGTCAGCAGTGACTGGACTCCTCAGTCTTGTCATGAGCCAGTCATAATTCCCCTGTATTTCTACCCTCGAAGGACATGCAGCGGTGACAGTTTGTCTCGGTGAGAAGACAGAAGAAGACAAAATTGCTCCTTTTTGCTGTTATTTTAAATGTTTCAGTGGCATATGTGTGTGTATCCAGTTTACAAAGCTCCTTTTCATTCCATTTTTCTTTTCCCCACCACTTTCAGAATGATTATCATTGTTCCCGCTTTTATCAAGTGTGACAGACACATCACTGCTTCATTTTTAGAACCGTGTGCCCTGAGATCTTGGCATAATGTCCACTGGACCACAAAGCAAATTGAACAGATGTTTCTGACACTTCGTGTGATGCCTCACCCACAGATTCTGTCTGCGGGATACGCTGTGAGAGGTTAAATTGGGATTCTTGCCTGCTGCTGCTGGAGTTGCCTGAAAAATTGGTTCCTTTGTTTCAAACATCATTAAAGATTTCCATCTCTGCTGAAAGAAGGACACACAGACTGATGGTGCAATAGGGTGTTCGTACTCTTCGTTAAACTAGCTGGGGTGGGAGTGATAAGAAATTTAACAGATATGTGGAAAGAACAAAGCAGGGTGACTACAATTTTTAGGACTTGTTAGAATTATTTTTATATATTTCCTTTTTTTTGTGGGTATTATTTAATGGAGGTTCCGTTGTGTTAGTTTAAAGAAAACATTTAACAGCAAAATACCAAATTATATTCTCAGTTGTGAGGTTTTTTGTTTGTGATAGTGTGTCTGCCTTTTTTGTGCACGTGTAGAGTATTTTTTTCTTTCCTGGACAAATATATTATCGGTCAATATGTGGGCTTGCAGCTGTACATAAACACTTGCTAGCCAAGCAGGTTTCAGCAAAACACCAGCAGCTAATTTTCCTGATTACTTCCTCCTCTGCACTTCCTCTGGTTGTTAATTACTGGCAGAGGTTCAAGTGGCTCCTGTTCATGTCTTTTCTGTTTTCCAACCTTTTTTTTTTTGTATATGTCTAAAATAAATAATTGGACTCAGGGAAAGAATGTAATCTTTCATATTCAGCATGTTAAGATTCAAGGTTAAGCTCAAGAGCTGTTAATATGGAAGCTATAAGGTATAAAAAGGTAGGTTAGTGACCTGATTGTTCTTAGATGAAAAATTACTTTTGATTTCCCAACCACATTCTGGTTAATTAATGTTGAGTGATCTCATTCAGAGGGCTGATTTAATAAAATATTCTCAAACGTCTTGATCACTACAGCCAGTATAATCACAAAACTGAGCGGTGATTCCCTATGAACTCTGATAAAAACAAAGAAAGCAGAAGTATTTGCAGTCGGTAAATTGACAGCAATCTGTGAATAATATGTCTTTTTCATGGCAGGTACTATACTGGTGGTGAGGCACATTCAGAAACTGGAAGGTAATTTATTTTAAAAGGTAAAAAAATTATATTAGTCTACACTACTTTTCCACAAAATAAAAAAGGTAAGAAGCAAAAATCAGAGGAACGGAAGAAAGATTTGTCACAATCCTGGGTCATTTGACCCAGCGTTTTGAGTTTAATATATTTTGATGTTTATGTTTAAGTTCATTAGCTCAGCGGTTCCCAACCCCCGGGCCATGGACTGGTACCGGTCCGTGAGTCGTTTGGTACCAGGCCATGAGAGTGGAGGCTAAGGAGTGAAATTTATGGTTTTCAGGGTTTTTATCGTGAACTCGGTTTCCCTGGGTCTTTTCCCATGTTGTAGTCGTGTGTCTTATTTTGAAAGAAATATTTATGCTTCACCATAGCGACCAGAGAACATTAAGGGGCAGAGAGGAGGATGTTACTCTCAATGTTGTTGCTGCATTTCAGGAGGACGCTGCTAATAAAGTTACACAATAACACACTGAATTTGCATTAATTATTATATTTACAAAATACCACAGTTTTTGTCTTGGTCGTATCATTTTATTTTGTCGTATTTGTCCCCGACACCTTAAAGGCCGGTCCGTTAAAAATATTGTCTGACATTAAACTAGTCCATGGCACAAAAAAGGTTGGGGACCGCTGCATTAGCTTATCTAAGTTCATTTCTAGTTTGCCTGTGTTGCCCTGTTACAGTCATTGTTTCTTAGATTCCCCTTGTTTAAGTCTCCCTCGCCCTTCATGTGTTTCATGTCTGCGTGTCTTATCTTGTCAAGCTCGTGTTGTCATGTCCAGGTCTCCTAATGTTTCCTGTTTTATTTTGCAGAGGTCTGGTGTCCCATGTTCATTGCGTTTGGTTTCACTTCCCCTGTGGCGTCATTATGTTCATTCTAATCAGCTGTTTCCCCGTGTGTTTCCACTCCCCCTGATCACCTTCTGTGCATTTAGTCTGTGTGTTTTCATTCATTGCTTCTCAGGCTGCCTGTTGAGTTCTCCTCATCTTTCCAGGTTTTTCCATGTTCAGGTTTTTATCATCGTCAAGGTTTTGTTCTTTGTCTGTTGTGTTTAGCATTTAGTTTTTCTCAGTTTAGTTCTAGTTAGTTTCGCCTCAGTGTGCATCTGCCTTTTGTTTTGTACCTTTTCCCAGCCACAAATAAACAGCTTGCCTTTTGTTAAATTATAGTTTAGTTCCAAGTGTCTGCATTTGGTTCCTCTTCCTTCCTCTGTGACACAAGTGACAAATGAAACTGTGACAAGATCTTGGCTGAGTGTTACCAGGAGTAAGTCTCTTCTCTCCAACAAAAACATAGTGGGGATAGCTTAGGTTTGCAAAGTTGCATTGGAACAAACCACAGGACTTGTGGAACAATGTCCAGACAAGAGCAAAGTGGAGACCAAAGGTGCTTCAGTGGAGCAGTCAAAGTCCAAACCTCAACCCAATAAACTGCTGTCCCAGGATCTGTGCACGAATAAATGCCTGTAAACCTTAATGAAATGAAGCAACAGTGTAAAGAATAGTAAACCACAATTGTTCCACAATGATCTGATATGTAGAAAATGATTGGTTCAAGTTACTGCTGCTAAAAGTGTTTCTAACAAGCAACTAAATCGTGGGGCGGGTTATTCACAGCACTGCTTGGAGTCCCTGAAATCTTTCTTTTTCACATTACTCTTCATAAGAAGATTGGTGGATGGAGTTAGATACTTATGCATGTAAACAGAAACTCTACATTCGATGTGAGAAAACAGAGTATAAAACAAATTTTTATAAAATAAAATCACACTGCTGAGAACTGCTGCTGAGATAGCAGCGCTGATAAAGAAGCTCCCCGGGTATCAAGTGAAAATCCTAAATGGCCTTCACATCCGGGAAACCGAGTGAGCCTGAATATAGGAGCAACACATGGGAAAGATGTGTTGTTGTTAGCCTCCATAGACAGCATGACTCCAGCCCAGTTCAGTACAGTTTTGTTTGTGTGTGCGCTAATGTGAGAATAAGAGGCAATGAGAGACTTCAGAATATATTCTCTCAGATGATGAGTTTCCCCACCCCACTGTAAACACATCATTGCCAAATCGTTTTGATGCTTTGAATCAGGATTAACTTCAAAGATCACTGGAACTTTATTCATCTCGCCCAAAATAATAAACGTCTTTTGAAGGAACTAGACTCCCTTTCTCCATCTTTTCTATCTTTTTTTCCCTGATTTCTGATTCATGCCATCCCATCTGGCAGCTGCTAAAAATCCGAACATCTTCATGGTCCCTCCTGTTTTCCTCCCTTGAACTGCTAATACCCTTCGCAAGTGGTATCTTTATATCTCTCTGTGTATGTGATCCCTTTCATTTCACGGCAGGGCTTCTATCGCTCATTCATCGGCCCCTCCCCCTCCCCACAGGCCACACAGAGTAGACTCATCCAGACCTGTCACTTCGCCTACTTTTAATGGACGCCGAGTTTTCTCTTTACGCAACTGTGTCGCAAAAATAAACAATTCTACACCCAGACGACAACGCATCTTGGACTTGCAGTCAAACAATGGGGAACGCAACCGTGACCCAGTTTACTTTAAGGCGACCTCCGTGTGACTCCAGCGAGAGAGGATCTGCGAGAGAGAGTTTTGAAGGCAGTTTTCCTAATCAGGAACACAGATGCTGTCTTATCCCCCAAAGACTGCACCCACTAACAAAACACATTTGAAGTAAGACATTGCCCATTTTAAGATGATTAGAGCCACCTATGCACAGGGGAGGGCTCAGCAGAGGCCAGTCACACCAAATCAAAAGGCTTCAAACAGCCTGCCATGGATCCGCAGGATATTAGGAGATAATGCATCAAGGGGGATGAAGTGTCAAATGGCTGGTTTGTTCCTGTGGACACTGCATTCATCATAGTTATTGTGAGGTTGGCTCAGTCGGCCGTCT